AAGAAGCAATTTGTTTCTTTTCCTGGGGAGAGAAGAGAATGAGAGATGAACTCTGTTGGCAACTCATCAAGAATGTTCTCCTCAGGAGAGCAAAGGGATTGGTGACCTGGCCTTGAGACTGGAAGCTGAGGTGAAATGAAAGAACTGAATCCACAGGACTTATGTGAAAGGTCACATGGGAGAAGGTAAACTGATAGACCGTGATTAGAAAGGCAAGTAAACTAGAAATTTAGAGTGGGAGAAAGGAGGAATGCCATTTAATATTTCAATGTGTTCTGGATTTAAATTTGTTATTTATCTTTTAACCATCTCCTTTGAAGCCATTTGGATATTACATATAAGTCACACAAAATTGTTTTTCCCCTCTATGTCTAAAGCTAGTAAAATTCATAATTGTTTATTATTAGGACAGCTTTCTCATCTGCATCATAATCTGTGACTTTCTCAGCCAAGTCACGCTTCTCTTTCCTCAGCTTTCTCACCAAAAAAACCTACGCCTCTCCTTTCCATCTAGCAAGGCTGCAAACAGAGCCTCCAGCTCTGAAGGGCCTCTGGCTCTCAGTCTCCATGTTCCCTGAACATAGACTCTGGGCCCCATGGCCATTTCCTTCTCCAACTTCAAGAAAAATGGGAGTGTCCACAATCCCCATGAGAAGGGCCCAGGCTCCTATTGAAATCTGAAGTCATAAAACACACCAGTTACATTGTTTGCACAACCTTTACCATCTTCTCTCAGAATCACAATCTTTTGAATGTTTTATTTCACACTTTTGTGCTTTTTCTACTTTAAAGGCTTAACACTACATAGGTTCTGGTTATAATAATTAGAAAATTGAGAATTACTTGTAGGAATTTCTCCTAAGGATATAATGTCTCATGCAAACAAAGTTTATGTACAAGGATGTTGATTGCTCGAAATATTAAAAGACTTAAAGCAATCTAAATGTCCAGTGGCAGAGAACTATTTAAATAAAAGTTCACTCATATTATGCAGTAATCTAAAATTTGTGATGTAGATGTTTAGGTATTTATATAAAAAAAGTTTATAAACTATTATTAAATGACAAAAAACAAGTTATGAATCAATAGATTATGTAATACAATACACACGCATACACATACAGAGAAAAAAATTACATCAAGAATATATACCAACAGGTTAATAAAGGCTGATTTTTATAATTTTTCTCATCTCTATATTTTTATCTCTCCATAATGAACAAAGAGTTAAGAAAACTGTATATAAGATAAAAAACACACAGTGAATCCTAGTGGGAGGCCTCTTTGAATAAAGTACATGAGTTTTAGTGTAAATATACAACCAAAAGAAATCCGGAACATAGGAGTCAAGAAGAGAGAAAACAGGTAAAGTTAGATCCCTTTTTTTGTTCAGTGAGGCCATGGGAAAGAAAATATTAATCAAAATACACCAGGATCTTAGGCAGAGCTGAGTTGTGGGTAGGAGGCTACCAGCGTGTCTTGCAAAGTTGTGCGGTTATTTGCAGCTCTGTAAGTTGAGAAAGGAGTCTGAAGAGCTCCTGCTGGGCAGGCAGGTTGCCCCCTGGACATACCAAACTAAGCTAGGAAAACAAGTTCGAATCTAAATCATCTCAGCTGCTCTGCCCATGGCCATGCCTGGCGTCAGGAGTTCCCGTGCACCACTCCACCGAGTCACTGAAGGTCGGCAGGAAGCCAAGGCTTCAGTCTGCATTCCATGCAGACCAGCCAGTCGCGCATTGGTGAGAGAAATAAAGGCATCTCTATCAGTGCTCTAACCTAGTAAAGTAAACAGCACTTTGTCAATTTTTCTGTCCAAATTGGAACCGTGCTTACGTTGTGAAGGCATTATCATCTTTAGCAGCAGCTTCTTTAAAGACCTCTTCCGTGGCATCTAGAAGTTGACTCACTGTTGTTACAGCAACTACTTTTGCCTGCCAGGAAGGGGACACCAATGGGAACCATCATTATCATGAATTATTATGGTATCAAGTGGCTTAGTTTTTGATCTACATAAGATGGCAGAGAGAATAAAGACAAGGCATAGTGAACATAGAAATTAAGGCAGTCAATCGGGAGGCTTGGGTCTGTGAATTTGACCTCATAGCAAGGTCTTTCACAGAATCTCCACCTCATCCCCAAGAACACAATAGCAGATGCTTGAATACAAAAGCAGAAGCAAAACAAGAGGAGTGCAGGGCTTTGATTGTCAGAACATTATGGCTCACAATATTTAATATAACTTATTAGTTACACTTAGTGTAACTAGTGGACTTAGTAAAGTTATTTCTAGTTTTCTTACAATTAAAATATCAGGAGTGCATTGGAAAGGATCTCTTGGCATCTGGTTACTGTATAACTGCCTCTTTGGGGTTATTAATACTCTTCTGTCTTTACTGGCTCATTTTTGCATAAATTCTACATTTGGTGGTCATTATTTTTATTTTTCAAATCTATTTTTATTAACTCATGACTTTAATCCCACTTAATGTCCAAAGGAGCTAGGGCAGTGTAACATAATTTTTTTGAACTAACACATTTAAAGGGAATAGAAGAAAGGAGTAGATAACTTCAGGCCATGGTGATATTCAACTGGTAAACACTGGGTCAGTCCATATCGGTGGTTTATAGCCCTGTTTGACCAGTACCCAAGCTGTGCCAATTGGTAAATGTTGACTATGGTTCTTGTCTTCAGGTACCAGAGTTTAGCAGTTTATAATACAGAAATGTAAACTAGGCCTAAGTTTTTTTAAAGCCAAAACTAAAATGCAAATATGCTTAGCAGAAAGAGATCACAGTTTAAAATATCATATTTCAAAGTGAGTTCCTTGGAACACCAGTTACTTAGAACTGAGTAGGGATGCTGAGATCAAATGCAGTTGGTGAACATATTAATGAAATGAAATAGATTTGTTTGTTACAGGTGTTCCAGATTTAACGTGATAATGATCATTGTGACTATCCTGAAAGAGAATATTTGGACAAAGAGCCCTTTTTTATTTCTTTGAGCATCTCACAGAAAGAGTGCTCTGCAAAATGGTTTTCAGCGATCGAAATCATGCCCAGGTCCATATCCTGGAATAGGGAATAAAGTTTGGGATGACTTTCTTTCTTTCTTGCCCCCTTTTTAAAACACCTTGTGAGCTTTACCTCGGGTGTAGCATTTCTGGATGTGTTGAAGATCTGTCCAACCACTCGAGAAGCAGAAGTGATATTGTCAGGAGTTAACATAGAGGTATCAGATGTTAAAATCTGGGCTTCAACAGAAATATTTGAAGAACTTGTTGAGATTTCATCTATCTGTTAAAAACAAAAACAAAACCCCCTAATTCTATATAACTACATCTAAACACTTTTCAAGCAACTACAAATGAATAAGCTGGAATTTAGTTGAGCCTCAGTCTCCTCAATCTCCACTCAGTTTTTTATTATTTGTTTCTTTTCTTGTATAAGTTTTATAACAATTGTAAACTTACGTAACAATTCTATGCTGTTGCATATAATAATTTTTAAATGGATCTGTATTTTATGTTTTTTTCATTTCATTTTCCAAGTTATTTATTTTTATTGTATTTTGTAAGATTATTGGTCTGCAATTGGAAATTTTTTTAAACTAGCTTTTCAGCACAGATAGTTTGGGCAGCACTGACCTAGACAACCCCAGGTCGCAGCTGGCCCCCAGGTTCTGCTGTGCACCTACAACATTAATCCTGCCCTTAGTGGTCGTGGGGGTCAACTTCTCTCCCTCTCTCAGTTTTTCACTAGATGGCAGCATCATTTCAAAAATCAAACTAAGGTCACAGGCTATTCAGCTTCGGAAGGAGTTGGAAGCAATATCCAATCAGTAGACAGAAACAATGCTTTCCTTCAGTAGCCATGTCCCTGCTACGTGCTAGGCACTGCTAAATGTTTTACAGGTGTTATCACATTTAATATGCAAAACAACACTGTGGGCTGAGCATGCCATCCCTATTTAAAGCCGTAGAGAGGGTAAGGAGCTCACCCAAAGTTCATGCAGCTTAGAAGTGGCAGAGCTAACAGTCAAACGCTGGCTTGTCACATTCCAGAACAAGAAGTCTCCCCCACAGTCTGCGTGGCTGGAACAACCTACGTGGTTGGCAGCCACCTCCGCACCCTATTACCATCGCCACTCCCGCCCCCACCCCTGCCCACCTATAATTAGGGAGCTAGTATGGTACAGTGCGGACTTTAATGTCTAAAGCAGCACCATCACTTTTGGCTGTGATTCACCAGGCAAAATACTGCACCTCTCAGAGCCACAGTTTCCTTACCTATAAAGTGAATGCATTAATACTTATCTATTGGGGTGAAACAGGAATTAAATATGATGAAATAGCATATGTAAAATGTTCAGCAGCATTTAGCAGGCAGTCAGTGCTCAATAATTAGTGTTATTAGCTATAATTATCTATAATATAGGAATAACATCTAACTCTCAGAGGTTCTGTAAAAACTAAATAAGATAATATGTAGCATGCCTGGCACCTAGAAGAATCATATAAAGATAAGTTTCCTCTTCCACCCCTTGTCTGGCCCCAGGTATTAGTAATTCTGTGCATTTGCATTTGGATATACCTTTAGTCAAACTAATCTAATTTGAATGAAAAATATTTACTGAGATGTATTTCCCATTTTACCTGCTCATGGATACAGCCCTGAGACTACCATCAGGTTCTGGAGTTTCCTGTCTCAAAAGGTCTCTGGTCATAGTTTTTTTCATCTTTGTTCTGATCCAGTAGACCACTAAAATATCTTTCTTTTGGCCTCAAATGTCAGGGATCTACTTTGGTCAAAACTTTACTGGTTTAAAAAGATGAGGCCATTTAAAATGTGCTATAGGTTATCATTTGCTGAAATTTGCCAAACCAACATGTTCAACTATCCTTTTTCACAAACAGATGTCAACTTGAAAAAAACAAAAAAGCTTAGCTATTAGTTTTTGTTATTTCTAATTTGAAAGTTTCTAAAAGCATTGATTTGACCATCTGACTTTTTCCAGTTGCCCATCACATGGGCCACAGGGCATACCTGCTTTTCCAGACTTTCCAGATTTATATCGCAGCTTCCTATTGTCACATTTTCTAATACCATCTCTTTATCTTCATTAAGATTGCACAGCCGGGTTGCTCTTGGCTTGCCCGCTTTAATAAAAAGGAGAAGAAAAGACAGTGTTTGCAAAGATGGCCACAGCAACTGCATGCTCCTGTATGTGTGCCCTTTCACAGGTAAGGTGTATATCAATAGTGTAGCTTATTTTTTAAATTGAAACAAACTATTTAACTTTAAAAAGCAGACATTAACCTGATCAAACTCCAGGAGACAGAGTAAGCTGGAAAAATAAACCAATTGAAGAAATAATAAAAGGAATTTACAACTGATCCCTATTAAGGTTTTCAGGAAAATTAGTTATGTGAGATAACACCCTAAACTTTGAACATTGGCATCAGAAAAGGGAGCCAAGCCCTCTACAAAGCCTTCCTTGATGTCTCTTTCAGGGACCTAATACTAGTTGGAGGGATAAGTATGACCCAGTATAGTGATTTGCATGCCTAAACAAGGGAGATGTTTAGAAAAGCACATACCATTTCGAGTGTTCTTGCCACATATTTGAAAGGAAGATCCATATCTTCCAGCTATAATTCTGGGAAAAGTAAAATCACCATAGGTGCTATTTTCACAGAAATTAGCTAAAATAAAAAGGAAACATTTTGTTTCATTTTAAATTATACGTTTCTTTTTCAAATTTCAAACCACATACAAGTCAAAGTTCAAAACCTATCCAGTACAATTTGAAGAATAGAAAACTTATAGGATTCACTGGCCCACCAAGAACTTCATATTTTCTTATTTGGTTAAGTTATTACCATTAGAATAATTAGTATATTAAGTAACAGGTTCCTGTTAAAATGTGCACAATATATAACTTGGTAGAGGTGGGATGTGATCACTGACACGTCAGCAAGAATAATGTGTTGAATTCGTTGAAATCTTGAAGACCTAGAGCTTAGAGTGGCAAAGGGCATCGTGAGGATGCGGGTCAAAGCAGAAAGGCCAAAGTCATGGATGCGCAGGACACGCTGGCTGGCGGGAGCGCAGCAAATGGCAGGAGCGTGCCCTGGGAGCTCTGGGTCCTCAGCACGCAGCACGAAGCGCAGAATGCTGAAAGCACTGCCGATCAACAGGTGACTTTGAACTTCGATTCTGAGATACCACTGATTGAAATCCAACCAGTAAAATAATAACATCTCTTCAAGAGAGAGGAAGAAAGGACAAAAACTTCATCCAAGTGTGTACTTAGATAGATGCATCTTGATTTCAGAAAAGTTAAATGTGATAGAATTGTGATATTTGAAATGGCGTGATGTAGCTTATCCCCAGTTGAAAGGACCTGAGAAAACCATTTCGCGTCCAGAAGGAAAAGCAATGTCGAGTTTACAGAGAAACTTGAGAGTTGGTAAACAGACAAGGCGTATTGAACATACAGGTAAATAGCCCAAGAAGAAAACTCAGCTTTTGCTATTGAGCTAATAAATACATCTTAAAGCCATCATTATTATGCCCATTGTTACTATTATCATTAACAGAAGCTTTGAGAAGCTTTGCCACTGTCATTAATACAAGAGTCACCTAAACCTCACGCCCTAGTGTTATCCCAAGAAACTTACCCCTTGTACAACTCAATCCTTTCCACTCTTCTGTACAAATGCATCTGCCATTTTCCCAGGTTCCACCATTACTGCAGTACACTATAGGAGTGCTTGATGTGGGGACAAATGTTCCTTAAAAAAAAAATGACAGAATAGTATATGAACTGGATGATTAGTTTCTCCTTTGGGGTCTGTGGCCTTTAATTTCCATAAGTAAAATCATTACTTTGAGTAGCATTGCTGAGATATATTCTTTGTAATATTACAGGGTAAAGAAATCTAACAAGGCATCATAGATACTAAAAAACCGTATTTGAAAGACAACACCTTGACGGAGAAGATGAGAACCTACTTAGGGAAATAGATTATATAGATTCTAGATTCTAGATTCTAGATTCTAGATTCTAGATTCTAGATTCTAGATTCTAGATTCTAGATTCTAGATTCTAGATTCTAGATTCTAGATTCTAGATTCTAGATTCTAGATTCTAGATTCTAGATTCTAGATTCTAGATTCTAGATTCTAGATTCTAGATTCTAGATTCTAGATTCTAGATTCTAGATTCTAGATTCTAGATTCTAGATTCTAGATTCTAGATTCTAGATTCTAGATTCTAGATTCTAGATTCTAGATTCTAGATTCTAGATTCTAGATTCTAGATTCTAGATTCTAGATTCTAGATTCTAGATTCTAGATTCTAGATTCTAGATTCTAGATTCTAGATTCTAGATTCTAGATTCTAGATTCTAGATTCTAGATTCTAGATTCTAGATTCTAGATTCTAGATTCTAGATTCTAGATTCTAGATTCTAGATTCTAGATTCTAGATTCTAGATTCTAGATTCTAGATTAGATTAGATTAGAGACCAACCAACTCAACATGCAAATTTGTAAGTTCTGCAAGAATATAGAAGAGAGATGTTGAGGACAGAGGTAGCCTATCCAGGGACGACTTTCCAGAAAAGGTGGTATTTGAATTGAATTTTAAGACTAAGTCCAGAAAAGCCAAATGTGAATGAATAGCCCAAGAAGGCAGGGTACAAAGTACAAAATACAAAAACATGGAAAGTTCTGATATGTCCAAGGAATAGAGAAAAGCTTAATATAGCAGGAGCACAGGTCCTATATGGAGCAATTGCAGGGATAGATTGGATTATGAGTGGTTTTCGTAGATCAAGCCAAGTGGATTTAATCCTGCAGGAGCCTAGAGAGGTCTTGAAACAAGTGAACAACTTAAAGAGGAATGTTTTGTTTTTTTTTTAGGAGGATACCTCAAGCAATATGGGAAGTGACTGAGGCAAGTAAGACCAGTTAAATGAGGGATGCAATCTAAATCAGTACCTCTAAGGAGGTTGTGTGTCAATAGATTTAGGAAGCATGCCTGAGATTTGATTACTACGATCTACCAACTGGTTATTTTGGGTTGGGGACACTGGGGTCTTTAAATTTGAAGACAAGGTGGATGTTGAACAAATTAATTAAGCTTAAGAATACAGGAAGGAGGAGTTCCACTTCCAGGAATGATGGAGTAGATTGTACCATTTAAATGCTCCCACAGATAATGATTTTAAACTCTGGACACAAGTAAAACCAACAAATTACTAGAGACATGGGACAGCCATGAAAAGCAGACAGAAACTGAAAGATATTCCAAGTTTATACAGTCTTTCCAACAAGAGCTCTACCCAGTCGACAAAGGTAAAGAGGCGTGGCTGAAAATCCAGCAGAAAGCTGCAGTCTTCACGGGTTAAGGTGTGAAAGGACTTGGTTACCATACCACCAGGAAACTGAAGGGAGATATTCTAGAACGGAGGAAGCCAGAGAGAAAAAAGGCTCTAAGTGTGTGTGTGAACTTCCCTCACATCTAGGGAGAAAAGAGTTTTAAAAAATAAAGAGTGCTTCAGGGACAATTTCAAGTGGTCTAACATATATGCAACTGGAGTTTTAGAGAGGAGAAGAGAGAAAATATCTGAAGGAATAATGGTCAGTTTTTTTCAAATTTGGTTAAGAACTTTAACCTACAGATCCAAGAAGCTCAATAAAGCATAAGCAAAATAAATACAAGGAAAACCTCACTTAGACTCATCGTGATCAAGCTGCTAAAACTCAGAGAGAAGGCGAAACTCCTGAAAGCAACCAACTACTGATCCGGACAATTTTACTGATGAATTAGGGAAGAAATAATACCAATCTCATATATACTCTTTCAGAAAATAGAGAAAGCCATGAACTTCCCAAATAGTTCATAATCCTAGAATAACTTTGATACTAAAATATGACAAAGACATAACCAGAAAACAAAATTACATACCAATTGATTTCATTTATACAGATGCAAAAATCCTTCAAAAATAGTAGCAAGTTAAATCCAGCAATACATAAAATCTGTGATGCATCATGACCAAGTATGATTGATCCCAGGAGTGCAAGATTGGTTTAAGAATAGAAAAATCAATTAGTTTAATTCACCATATGGCAAAATAAAGAGGGGAAACAATATGATCATTTCAGTGAGTGCAGGAGGCAAAAAGCAGCTGACTTTTTTTTAAAACTCTCAACAAACAAGGAATGAAAGAGAACTGCCTCAAGCTGGTCAGACTCACCTGTGTCGATCCTTCCACTAATAGATACTTAATAGCGTAATGGTGAATGCTTTCCCCACTTAGACTGACAGGAGAAAGCTTAATATACTTTCTCTAACTACTTTTATTCAGTAGTGTATTGAAGATGCTAGCCAGTGCTATAGACAAGGAAAGGAAATAAAAACACAAAGTTAAGAAAGGAAGGAATAGAATTATCTTTTGTTGCAGATAACATCAAATATGTTTAAAACCCTAAGGTGTCTCAAAAAGAGCTACTTGAATTGATAAGTGAATTTAGCAAGGTTTTGCAATGCAATAAATATACAAAAAAATCAATTATTTCCACATATTAGCAATTGGAAAAATATTATAAAAATCATTTCCATTTAAAGTAGAATAAAGTTTTTGGAAATAAATTTAATAACATATGTGCAAGACCTCATTGAGAGAAAATCTTAAAGATCTAAATAAAAGGAGACATATAACATGTATATGTGAAAGACTCAGAGTTGTTAAGGTATTCATTTCCCTCAAAGTGATACAGCTAAAATCCAAAAACTAAAGACCTGTTTATGTAGAAATTTACAAACTGATTTTAAAATCTTACAGCGAAATAGAAGACCTAGAAAGGCCAAAAGGAACTTTTAAAAGAGGAACTCACATTACTAATTTTATGGCTTACTACATAGCCATAGCACTCAAGACAGTATATCAGCCCTGGCCGGGTGGCATCGTCCTGTGCACCAAGAGGCTGTTGGTTCTAATGCCCGTCAGGGCACACACCTAGGGTTTGGGTTTGATCCCTAGTCGGGGCATGTCCGGGAGGCAACAGATTGCTGTTTCTCTCTCACATCGATATTTCTCTTTCTCTCCCTTCCTCTCTCTAAAAAATCAATTAAATTTTTTTTTAAAGACAAGTATATCAGAATAAAGATATTCATATATCAATAAAATAGAATAAAGAGTTTAGAAGTAGGTTAAACATAACTTAGTCAGTTGATTTTAAAAACATGCCAAGGCAATTCAATTGGAAAAGGAAAGGTTTTTCAACAAATGGTGCTGAACCAACTGGGTAAACATACCACACTCAAGACACAATTTGAGATGGACCATAGATTTAAAAGCAAAAGCTAAAACTATAAAGCTTATCTAAGAAAACATATGAGTATATCTTTGCAACTTTGAGAAAGGCAAAGATTTTTTTTTAAAGAACACACAAAAAGCATTAAACATAAAAGAAAAAATTGATGCATTTGACTTAAAACCTAATACTACTGCTCATGAAAAGGCACTGTTAAGAAATGAAAATGGAAACAACAGAGCAGGAGAAAATTATATATATAAAATTTTATACATATATAAATATATAAATAAATTTATATATATGTAAATATATATATATATGACAAAGGAAGTGCACCCAGAAGTGTAAATTAGAGTTGTAAATCTAAATGTAAATTTGAATTGTAATTTGTAAATTGTAAAATATATGCATTACTTACAAGAATATGAACAGCTCTGTTTTTTTTAAATGTGTACAAGACTTAAGTAGGCAGTTTATAAAAGAAGATACATGGACTAACCGGCACTAAACACATGAAAATGCTCAGCATCTCAGAGAAATGTAATTTAAAAGCACAATGAAATACCATTTCAAACCCCACCAGAATGGCTACAATTACAAAACTGACAATGCCAAATGTTGCTGAGGATGTGTAAAATCACCCGAGGATGTATAAAATCACCTGAGGATGTGTAAAAACTGGAACTCTAGCAAATTGCTGTGGAATTTCAAATGGTACAGCCATTCTGAAAGGCTGTGTTTCTTTCTCTTATAAAGCTAAAGATACACTTACCTGTGATACAGAAATTCCATTCCTAGACAGAGATGCAAAATTAATGGAAATATCCACCTACAAAGAGACTTGCACAAGAATGCCTCTAGCGCCTGCGGTGGGTGTCATCGTCTGCCACCCGGATGCTCCCCTGTGGGACTGGAGCACTCATTCCTCCAGCTTTGTGCAATGCTGGCAACTGAGAACACTTAGCTGAGTCCGAGTCTAGAGACTGCCTCAACTTAAGAGAGTCCGCTCGTTCAGGATCCTCAGGACCAATGCCCTGGCTGGTCAATGCCAGGAACTAGGTTCATCCCTCGGCCTTGATACCTCACAGAGCATATTTTCCAAAGACAGCCGTACCAGGTGCCCCATGTCACTCTTACAGGATGACAATGACACTTCTCCACTGAGAGGTGGGGCTTAGTTCCCTCTCCTGGAATCAAGTGCACTTTTGTGTCTGCCTCAGCCAACAGAGTGGGAGAAATGAGGCTCTGTGACTTCCAGGCCAGACCACAGGAGGTGATTTGGCTTCCACCCAGCTCTCTCTCACTCAGGATATGTGCCTTGGGAGACTTGAGCCTACAGGTGACATGTAAAAAAACCTGGCTACTCTGAAGCCTCCACTCTGGAGATATCAAGGAGAGAAACTACACAGGGATAGAGAAGCATGAGGAGCTTTAGCTGTTCCAGTTTTTTTCAGTCTTTTCAGCC